AGCTGCGCCAGCGGCGTGATACGAGCCCTACTCGCGCCTTGCGGACCCCATGTCCGTTTCCTGATTACTCGTCAACTGAGAGACGTGGTGTATCACCAACGACCTAGACGGGGCACAGAGGTGGCAGCTGGAAGCTGTTCATAAGGCGGCTCAAATGCGCGCCCATCCACGGCCGGTCATTGTCCCTAGTGAGGAATATGGCATCCACCCTGCGGATCCCGCTGTGGAAGCGAAGGACGCGGTAACTCGATCGCTACGCGTCCACATGCGAAAAGCTCTTCGAGCTCGTTTCTTGGATCCACAAGAATTTTCGTTGGAAACTTATCGCACTCGTCTGAGTGCTGAACGAGGTGGCTCACGTGTACCCGCAATGCGGAGAAGCCTGCAGTGCTCGCCCCTGGCGAAAGCGCTACAAATGACGAAGCGCTCTTTGAGCGATGGGTTCAACGGCACCGCAAACTTTCTTCACTGTATAGCCTACAGTTGAGCCACAAAGAAGTAGCCGTGCGTGTGGAACGACACCTCCGATTTCATTTTGCCAAACTCAAAGTACACCGTCGACTTCCTTCGGTTTGTCGGTCTGCGACGTACGGGTTAACAACCCCTGATGCTCCCGCGAGCACTGTGTCTTCCACCATAAGAGCTCATGGCCACTGCTTGAGCTCAGCTCATGGTCCTTCTACTTCTCTGGTTATTGCCGGGAAGCGCAGGGCGTCCTGATCTTTCTGATCAAAAGGGTCCACAGCGTCTGGGCAATCTTGCCGAAGTGGCGTCTGAAACTCCCACGAGTTTTCGGAGTCGGGGTATCCCCGTTACTTCACCAGATTTTGAGTCTGACCCTGGTGACGACGTCGTCGCACAAGTCGTTCCACGTGATAGTGGACGTCACCGTTCTCATCGAGAAGAGTCGGTGGCGTGCGGTGACGACCGGGTCGACCGCCGATCGGTGACTCGCGACGCTGTTCGAGCCCTAGCGGGTGAGATCCTTCGTGGTCGAAGCTCCGCTGAACGTCATGCTGAAGTAGCATATCGCTGTGCGGATGCTCTTGATGATTTAAAGTGCATCGTGCGCCGGCTGCCTCGCCTTGAGGACTACCGCGCTCTGTCGGAGCGACTCCAAGCCGTGGAGCAGGCGAATGCGTCACTGCATGCGACGGTGCGACGCTTTGCTCCATTGGAGATGGAGGTTGTTGCACTCCGTGCTCAGAAGCAGTTGCTAGTTCAGTCTCTGGGTGGCCGAAGGCCCAAAGATTCGTTCTGGCGCCAACGCTTCCGCGTTCACATGCGCCGGATCCCGGTACGGCTTGAGCAAGCCCACGAAAAACACCGGGTGGGTGCGCATCCGTTTGGGAAGGTTTAGCATATACACTAGGCCCCGCTTGGCCACAACTTTTAACGGTCCAATAAACCGTGAACAAAGCTTCGTCCAGAAGATAGCAAAGGATGCATGTGTAGGCAGGTTTTTGGAGTTTAATATAACTAAGTCTTTGACCTTAAACTTTCCACTTCGCCTCTTCCTTTTTCATCTGCATATTCTCTCTGCAGGTCTTAGCTTTCAGCCATCGCATCGCGATCGCGTCGTAGGACTTTCAGACTGGTAGACAAGAAGTCATCGACTTCTTTGCGGATAGTGAGTGGGCTGACATCAGCTAGCCGTTCGGCTATTCCTCGCCAACAAGCCCTGACCCATGGGATGGCGGCGTCAGCGGGACGCGAGGGTGATCCAGCCCGTTCACGGCGTGTAGCCGGTAGACGAACGCACTGTATTGTTCAGCGTCAACTCCTCGAGTGGCAACATGGCGCTCCAGCGTCTCAGCGTAGACTCTGCGAAGATTATCTTCGATGACACGATTCACCCTTTGGGTTTGACCATCGGTCTGCGGATGATCTGCTGTCGACATTTACAACTTGGTGCCTATCACCTTGAAGATTGTCACGAAAAATTTCCCGTGAAACGCGGGTCTCTACCAGGGACAATCGACTCTGGGAGTCCGTGTTGTCGGAAAACACAATCCACAAACAGCTTTGCTGTACCGACCCCGTCGATAGTATCTGGCATCGCCTCCAAAATAACCCGTCTTGCTCAACCGGTCGACGAATACCACGACACCTGTGTTGCCCGCCGAATATTTCGACAGGCCAAACACAAAGTCAAAACTCATAAACTGCCAGAACCCAGTGGGTCAAGCTGGCCAGTGGCGCAGCCGCATTTGGAGGGG